TTGCTTCACCGGCGAGCACTTGGTAAATCAGCACTTAAAATTGCTATTAACAATTTCATTGGTGCCGGCGGGGATCGAACCCGGGTTACTCGCATTCTGTTACAATTACAGCGAGCGTTAACCATCTGAGCTGACACATCGTTTAAGAGATATTGAAAAATCAAATAATTTTACACAGAGAGAGAGCGTGATATACGTGTTTATTATCTCTGTCTCCTCTGTGTGTGTGGTACTTTAAAATGTTTAGTATAACTATTAACTTAAAATTAAGAATTTGCTGAGAAATATTTTTGTTTTATATTTAATTTCATTTGAAGGTCTGTCTTCTGCCGCTTATGAACTGCAGACATTTTTTTTTGATATTTTTCTATAAGAATTTCTATAAATTAGTGAAACTCGTTAAAAAGTCAAACGACAAGAGATATTCTATGAATACTTAAGTGTCTAATTTTTTTTATAATAAGCGTGGCAAACGAGCATATAGTCTATCTGATATTAAAAAAATGCTGTGACGAATAGATATCTACATCTTACCTTGAGCTTGCATGCATTGTAAACCCTGTGGACTATGATGGAATCCCTCATTTTTCCAATAAAAAGAGTCTCCGGTACTCTACACTCACTATACGAAACTCAGTAGCATTAAGCTGCTACTTTACGCTAGTGTTCTGTGAGAGCAAGATCTTTTCCCGGTCGAACCAACTAATTTGTGCTACAACCATATTTAGCTGTAGCGTGAACCAAGTACGTGTGTTTCGATAGTAGGTATACACAACAAATGTGAAACCTTATTACAAGTTCATACAACAGTATCACCATCTAGTCTAAGTCAGATATAAAATTTCCAAATCAGGATGCAGCGTCAAAAGTGCGAATGATTAGTACCGCGATAGACAAATTATATAGCTTATTTTCGTAAATCACCCTAACAATTGGAGAAGACAATATCCAGCGTGGTGGCCAATATTCCTAAGTTTCCTGTTAAGTGTGTTATCAGAATCAGTATACAAACGTATAGAAATAGCTTTACTTTAAAAAAATTGACATTAAAAAATAAAATTATTACTTATTAAAAAATGCAAATTGTGTTTTTTATTACCTCTGCATTATTCGGGAAGTAAGAGTATTGTTAAAGATCCCTAAAACCCTGTAAAGTAAATACCAAAGGGAAGAACCAAGAATCAGTATTCTGTATAATCTACAATATTGTTTCTACACTGAAATTAAAGCGCGAATAGTATTTTTAATGCGTTGAAAATTGTACACCATTTTTCTTTTATCGCCATTAAACTCATTATAACAAGTTTAAAATTCATTTCACACAACGGTCACCACGCGCATTCAAAGTGTTATTTGGAATTTTAAATTAGTGTCGCTCATTAGAAGGTGTATGTACCAAAGGATTTAAGGACATATTTTTATTAATAATAAATATTATAATGGCTTAATTAAGTGCTTTTTGTTTACTGTGCCTCCTTAAAATGTTTTTATTACATTTTGTGTAAGTGTCGTGGTAGCTCATGGGCTAATCGCTCATAATTTTCCGACTACACGAGAAATTCAATTACAAAACCTCACTAGAACTAATAAAACTTAACTTTAAGATTTTTTACTCGTTACGAAGAGTATTTTCATTAAAATGTAGGTAACTATTTCCAATAAAATATTATTTTCCACTATTGAGGCATTATTTATTTTTGGCGTAAACGAAATAGATATAGCGCATCTATCGGAAACCATGAAGCCTCTTTGACGTTTTTCATAGTCGCCTCTTAGGGCACATGCAGGATGAACCAGTGTGATTCATTCTAAGGCGTCAAGGGCATTTGGAGGGCCAGAGCGCTCGGCTTGCCTGACAAACCTACGCTCTACTTTTCATCATATAAGTTAATCAAATCATAAGAGTTAGCCAAATGACTTAGATACCTCTGTGGCCTCTAGTGGCGTATTTTGATTACAACTTTCCATGCGACCGCTGCGCAGGACATTGAAATCAATTAAGATTTTCTTGTGGTATGCGTGCGAGTAATTGTGTAGCTACACGTCTATTGCACTGCACGCTCGTAACCAAAAACAGAAAATAAAATATTTAACAAATTTAAATATCCGAAACTGCTTTATATTGTTTATAAATAAAAACCTTCTTTTAACAAAATAGGATATAATAATAGTCACTTCTAAGAAGAGTAAAGAAGAAGTCTCTAAGCCCGCGACTTTATCGCTGTCAAATTCCGTACCTACATTTTAAAAGTTAGGTAAATTTACAGTCTTTATACGCCCCAATGCTGGCACAGCCCTCCTCTTATTTCTGAGAAGGTTTAAGGGCAAGGATATGTCAACCATGCTGCCCTAATGCGTGTTGGCGAACTTCACATTTGTACGAAATATGTTTTTTCTTATTTCTCAGATATGCAGGTTTCCTTGTTTTCGAACGGCGTCGTGCCAGCGAGGATCGAAACCGGGTTGTTCGCGTACTATGAAATTTACAGCAAGCGCTAACCATCTGCTCTACTACGGCTCTTACATTTTAAATCGCATATTTTCTTCGTCACATATTTTTTTAAACTAACTCTTATTTAACCCTAAGCATATTATGAATCATTTAACTTTACTACTTATTTTTTTATTCTATTCCGCTTTATAATTACAATATGATAATGAAATGAGGGATCTACTTTATTTAAACTATGTGTTAAATATTTAGTAACTTTAACAGAATCGCAAACGATGTATTTTAAATTATGATATTCTCGAAAGTACGTACACAGGTGTTCTTAAATAACATACATCGTGTCGTTAAGGGAGCAGAGAAGGATAATGACTTAATTATCTTTTAAGAAAGGGTGATTAAATTATGCTAAGTGAGCCGCTATTGCCATGAGTCTCTATTCCTTTAAAGACACGTCATCGTTTTATATTGTTAAGCAGAATAAATTCTGTGTTTGAAAATAAGTATGACACTAGCTCAAATAAATACGGTTGGACCACTTTAATGACCGTTATTGCTTTGCTACAAACATGAAACTTTATAGGAGTGAATTTTAGTGGGAGTCTCATATCCTCCACAAAGGCTTATTAGCTGTATCAAACCATACAACGATGCAACTTTGAATAGCAAACAAGACTGTGAACTAATTGCAGTCTTTATTGATAGAAAAAAAAATTGAAGAGCTCTTAAAGTAATTTAAAATTAAAATTAAAAAAAAATTAAAGTTTTTAGTAAATGTTTTTGCATTGTATTATCACAACAATTTACTTATCGATTAAATGTCATGCAGAACAAGTGTTTGCCCGTCAATAATTATATATATATATATATATATATATTTATAATAATAATACATTTGTTGTGATTATAAATATCTGATACTGATACGTACGGAATATTAAGTTTTTATGTATAGGTTTTTAAAAGTAAAAAAATTTTCAATTAATTTCTGTGGGGTATTCCATCTCGTTAGGGGACAGCGCATCTGTAGCCTGCTTTGTATGAAGTTAGCTGCAGGTGCCCATGGACTCCACGAGCTACTTAACATCAGGAGTCTGTATGTTAATTTATTAATTTAGTTAAAAAATCGAGCTTAATACCACGTTACCAAACCAAACCAACTTCACCACCACATAGTAGTGTATCTTCCTGATGCTTTGTCATCCGGCAACTGATATCTGTAGCTGATATCAGTTCTGGAATTTACAAGGGTTTTCTTGATTTGAAAATAATGTATCTTGAATAATATGATAATTTCATATATTTACAATTTTTTTTATAGGGTAGGGTGACAAATGAGCACACAGTCCAACTGGTGGTAAGTGATTGCTGCGGCCCGTAGACATCTACATCTATCCTCGATTACAAATCAAAATGCAGATGCGCTGTCACCCGTGAGGACTAAGATGAAATGCCTCGTTTCCTTTAAAAAGGTTCTCTACACTCACTATACGAAACACAGCATCATTAAGCTACTATTTTACGCTGATGTTCTGTGAGAGCGTGGTCCTTCCCCGGTCGAGCCGACCCATTCGTGCTACAACTATACTACTAATATAACTGCAGCATGGCTCTACCACGTATGAAATAATTTAATATTATTAATAAAAATATTATAAGCTCAAACCAACAGCCGGCAGGTAAGTCATTCATCACAGGAAGGACGGTTATAACTTGAGTCCCGTACAATTCAATAAATCTTCAAGACATTTTTAGCCCGACGTACATTTTTTTATAAGATTCATGAGCACCTAAATTTATTTACTTGCGACTGTTGTGGGTAGTCTTAAAATGTTGTACGTTAAGAACCGCTTTATTATTAAAAACAGTTGTCATCTGAACTCCGTTGTTTCATTGTCACTACATGGTGGCAGCGGTGAAAATACTTAAATAATTTTGGATTTTACATTTAAATAACGTTCATTTAAATTGTTGTTGTTAACGTAAATTAAGTGTAAGAGATGGAGCATACAAGACCACCTACCGAATTGAGTTTAGATGGCAGCCCTGTCGGCCGGGCTGACGCATGGAAAAGGTGGAAGGCGCAATTCAATCTTTTTCTTAAAGCATCGGGGGTGCACAAAGAAGGAGGAAGCATACAGGCGAGTTTGCTTATTAATCTGATTGGATCAGATGGATTTGATGTTTACGAGACTTTTACGTTCGATTCAGAAGAGCAGCGTGAGGACGTCGAAATATTGATGAAAAAATTTGATGAGTATTTCGGTGTTAAATCTAATATAACATTTTATTATTAATAATTTTATTATTAATAATAATTATAATATATAATAATTCCTTTACGAGGTATCAAGAATATGGAGAATCCATTGATCAATATGTAACTGCGTTAAAGTTACTCAGTAAAAATTGTGAATTTAAAAATTTACAGCAAGAGTTAATTCGCGACCGTATTGTGTGCGGCATAAGGAGCACAATTGTAAGGTACCGGTTGCTACGGACAGATGAATTGACTCTGGAGAAAGCAATTAAAATATGTCAAGCAGATGAAATGTCAATAGACAGCAAGCGTGTGATGGAAGCAGGTAGCTTCAGCAGTTCGGCAAGCTGCGGGCCCGTGCGCGTTGAGATGCTGTCGGTGCGCGGCGGCGGGTGGCGCGGCGGCCGGCGTAGCGTCGGTCGCAGGCGACTGGCGTGGCGCGCGAGGTGCGCACGGCGGGACCGCGGTGTCGCCTTGTCCACGTTGTGGTGCTCAGTGTACTGATGTAGGTTCATGTCCAGCTATTTCGGTGAAATGCTATGTGTGCGGTAACTACGGCCATTACGCTAGGATGTGCAAATCTAAAAATAGTGTTAAAAAATGTATAAATTAGAAGTGAATACAGAAAAATTTGATAATGATGACTGTGAGTCGTTTTATGTATCTGTGTTAATGGATACAACGCAGAACAAAATCGGCGGCCATGACTGGTACGAGGTATTAAGAGGTGAGTGTGGCTTTGAACGTTTTAAGCTGAATACCGGTGCCGACATTAATGTATTATGTTATAAGAGATTTTTGACGATGGGATTTAACACGGAAATTATATGTAATAATAATAAAATGAAATTACAATCGTTTAGCGGGGATTTTATTCCGATAAGAGGAGTTTGTTATCTTAAATGGTGGCCTAAAAATAAAATGTATGTTTTAAAATTTGCAATAGCAAATATTAATTGTTAAAGTGTGCGAATCTTTTTAAGGTTTAGGATGCTTACCTGGTGAGTACCATATAGTTGTTGATAAGTCAGTTAAACCGGTAGTTTGTGGTCCGCGAAAAGTGCCTCTAGGATTACGTGATAAATTATATTAGAAGAATTACACAGGATGACTGACTTAGGAGTCATTAGGAAGGTCACTCACCCAACACAATGGGTTAATTCAATAGTAATTGCAGCAAAAAAGAATGGAAAATTACGAATTTTTTTAGACCCGAGACCTCTCAATATTGCTATACAGCGTGCACATTTCAAACTGCCAACCATAAAGGAACTTGCGACTAAATTTCACGGAACTAGTTTTTTTTCGGTTTTAGATGCAAATTCAGGTTTTTGGGCAATACAACTTGATGATCAGAGTTCAGACTTATAATAATAATAATAATAATAAAGAACCCAACCAGATGAGAAAACTATATAGATACCCCATAATAATAATAATAATAATAATAATGGCATGTGTGGGCTTTTATTTATTTATGTACTTTTATATTTATTTTATGTTATTGATATTTATGTATATTTATCTTTTCATTTTCATTTATAATTATATATTTATAGAACCCAACCAGATGAGAAAACTATATAGATAAAAAATAATAATAATAATAATAATAAAGAAGGCGTAGGGAATTGACGACCCCATCGCCCGCTGACGTAACAGTTAAGTGACAAAACTGCTACGTCAACGCAGTCAGTCAGCGCCTTGCGAGAGGTGTGAGCGCCGTGCCTCGGCAGAATTTAGGGTGCAGAGGCCCGTTTGTGCTTATGGCTACACACGAAACGGTGCCGGGCCTGGACGTCTCCCGTTAATGGACAAAGGGCTGCTGCCTGGGGGTCGCCGGGGCGCGTCTGGAGCTGGCGCTGGACGCGGCATCATGCGGGCCGCCAGCCGAGCGCGAGGAGCTGCACGGTCACCTAGCAGCCCTCCGCATCCATCATCGCCACCAGAAGGCTTGGTGTCGGCTGGGTCTTCTCGGACTCAGCAAGCGGCACCCGCCGCTGGTGGAGCACGTCGCATGCGTTGGTCACAAGCAATGAATGCAAACGCACTGCGGGCGCACTTTAGGGAAGAAACTAGATGTTTGGCGTATCGGGCTAGGATGCATCGTCTTTTTGCTGAGCTGGAGCCATCTTTAACCGTCACAGAGCAAAACCTGGCAGACCGAGTTCGGTATATCTTGCGCTCAAATATATTTGATGTCGCCGAACTCGAACGGCTACGACGTGAGGCTGTTCCCTCGTCGGATGAGAATGCTACGGCTGAGGATGCGGCGCCACAAATGGTAGAGCAACCCGCAAACGTGGATGCCGCCGTGAATACCCCAGTTGTGGTTGATTCAAACGATGATGGAACAGTCGCCCAGGAACTGGAATTAGAGCATATGAGGAGTACATTGGAAGAGGCGATTGTGGAAACGCGCAGTACGCCTCTCAAAAATCGACCGCGACTTCCCCGCACAGCCCTAAGCAAGCGGAATCGGGCTGTCGTGAGGGCTCTGAACCCAATGCTGGTGACCTATTTGGAAGCCAGTCGGGACCTTTGCGAGACGGATTCAATTCTTTTTGGCGCCGCGCTGGCAGTCTGCCGTATCATAGGCGCCAAGGTTTCCACGGCTGGACGCGCTACTGGCCATAGTAGCGCTATCCCAGCATGGAGAAGAAGAATTGAGGAACGTATCGCAAAGGCTAGAGCTCTCATCGGCAGACTGATATGCTTCAGATCAGGCAACAACAGGCCAAGAATTGTGCGCACCGTCAGGATGGCGTTTGCTGGGACAAATGTCAGTTTGTACCAGCCGGATATAACGCAAAAACTGACGGAGCGCATAGATGATCTGAAGCAGAGAATCGCTGCTTGGGGAAAGCGGATTCGGCGATATACCGAGAGGTCGACACGGTTCAACCAGAATCGTCTCTTCCAGAGTGATCAGAAGAGGCTCTATGAATCATTGGAGCGACCAATGGCAAATGGTCCAGCACCGAATCAGGCCGACACTGTAGCATTCTGGCGCGACCTGTGGTCAGAGCCCGTAAACCACAGCGAGGGCCCTTGGACGGAAGTTGTGGCGAGTCAGTGTGCGGGTATTACGCCCATGGACCCCGTCATCATAACGCCGGATGACGTAGCTGAGGCGGTCCGTAGGGCCCCGAACTGGAAAAGTCCGGGGCTTGACGGGCTGCATCACTACTGGCTGAAGGGGTTCATGGTGTGTCACTCTGTGCTCGCCCGACAGTTTCAAGAGGCTCTCAACCAGAAGTCGCTCCCAAGCCTCTTCACTACTGGGATCACTCATTTGGTTCCTAAAGACCAGGGTACCACAGACCCGAGCAAATACCGCCCCATCACGTGTCTACCGACCATATACAAGACACTAACATCCATTTTGAGCGCGAGAATCACTTGTCACCTGGACTCAAATCAGGTGATGTCGCGCGCTCAAAATGGATGTCGGGGCGGTGGTCGCGGAACTAAGGAACCACTCCTCATTGACGCGGTCATTGGCAAAGTGGTGAAACGCAACCGTCGGAACTTCTCCGCCGCCTGGATAGACTACAGAAAGGCATTCGACTCGGTGCCCCTTACATGGCTAAAGAGAGTCCTCGAGCTGTACAAGGTAGACTGTACAGTTAGAGACTTCCTCGAGCAGTGTATGGGGCAGTGGAGTACGATCCTTTGTCATCTGGGTGAGGGGATGATGGCTGCGGAGAACCACATAAGGATAAGAAGGGGTATCTTCCAGGGCGATTGTCTAAGTCCAATCTGGTTCTGCCTCTCTCTGAACCCTCTCAGTACCTTACTGGAGGGCTCCGGGAGGGGATTTCAGCTACGGAAAGGAGGGACAAAAGTGACCCACCTTTTCTATATGGATGACCTCAAGTTATTCGCCTCCAGTCGCTCCCATCTTATGGAATTGCTAAACATCACTTGTGAATTTAGCAATTCCATTGGAATGGAGCTTGGGACGGATAAATGTGCGGTCCTCCATGTTGAAAGGGGAAGGGTTGCTAACTCTGAGGGCGTAGACTTATCTATGCCCGTCAACTTAAGGACCCTTTCCGAGGCTGAAACATACCGATACCTGGGTATGTCACAAAACATCGGTATCGATGAGACTGGTATGAAACAGTTTGCGACGTGTTTTATGCACGCTTGACCAAAGTGCTTAACAGCCTTTTGTCCGGTGTGAATAAGGCACACGCATATAACGGCTGGGTCATGCCTGTCCTCATGTATACCTTTGGCATACTCAGGTGGACTCAGACTGAACTTAACGCCCTGGATAGAAAAGTCCGCACTACCATGACGTCCCATAAGATGCATCATCCGAGATCGTCGGTAATGAGGCTGTATTTTCCGCGGAAGCATGGTGGTCGTGGCTTCTTGAGCGCGCTCACCATGCATAATCGCGAAGTGTGCAGCCTCCGTGATTACTTTCTGGCGAGATCGGATGATCCATTCTATAAGGACGTCATTTCTTGTGATAAAGGACTTACCCCTCTATCCTTAGCCGACGAGCAATGGCAAGACCCGGTAGTGCAGAGCATTTCCGACCGGGAGACCGTATGGAAGGAGAAGGAGTTCTACGGGAGGTTCTACAAGGCTCTACATGAGCCTTTCGTAGACACAGTAGCCTCCCTCCACTGGCTACGCTTTGGTGATCTCTTCGGGGAAACCGAGGGTTTTGTCTGTGCAATACAGGATCAGGTTATTAAGACCAACAACTATCGGAGATACATTCTAAAGGATGGCACCATCGACATCTGTCGAGTTTGTCGCCATCCCGGTGAGTCACTTAGGCATGTTATCTCCGGTTGTTCGGCGCTTTCTAACTCTGAGTACTTGCACAGGCACAACCTAGTAGCCAGAATTCTACACCAAGAGCTCGCTCTGAAGTACGGTCTCGTGGATCGGAAATTGCCGTATTACAAGTACTTGCCGGAAGCCGTGCTCGAAAATGATCGCGCCAGGCTCTATTGGGACCGGGCCATCATCACAGACAGGACTATTCTTGCGAATAAGCCTGATATTGTGCTGATGGACCGGGCACAGTCAAGGATATTTTTGGTCGACATTACCATTCCGTATGACGAGAACCTCGTGAAAGCCGAAACAGACAAGCAAACAAAATATCTGGACCTGGCTCACGAGGTGACCGACATGTGGGGTGGTCTGCCGACCGAAATTATTCCTATAGTCGTCTCTGCAAACGGGCTAATCCCAGTCAGCCTCTCGGGTCATCTGAGGCGGCTGGGACTACGTGGCGGACCGCTCCAGGTTCAAATGCAGAAGGCGGTGCTCCTCGATACCGCTCGCATCGTCCACCGGTTTCTTTCCCTTTCCCCCTAACCCTCGGCCGTTTGGTCTCCCCTGCCGAGGGCCTCCATCTGGTTGGGCTTTTATTTATTTATGTACTTTTATATTTATTTTATGTTATTGATATTTATGTATATTTATCTTTTCACTTTCATTTATAATTATATATTTATAGAACCCAACCAGATGAGAAAACTATATAGATACCCCACAATAATAATAAAAAGGCGTAGGGAAGTGACGACCCCATCGCCCGCTGACGTAACAGTTATGTGACAAAACTGCGACGTCGGCGCAGTCAGTCAGCATCCTGCCAAGAGGTGTGAGCGCCGTGCCTAGGCAAAATTGTAGATGCAAAGGTCCGTTTGTGCATATGACCCAACCACGAAACGGTGCCAGGCTTGGGCGTCTCCCGTTATTTGCGCCCATAAAATGGATGATGGAAGAAACACAGAAAGAAACGCGCATAGGGCCGCTGCCTGGGGGTCGTCGGGGCGCGTCTGGAGCTGGCGCTGGACGCGGCAGCATGCGGGCCGCCAGCCGAGCGCGAGGAGCTGCACGATCACCTAGCAGCCCCTCGCATCCATCATCCCCACTGGAAGGCTTGGTGTCAGCTGGGTCTTCTCGGACCCAGCAAGCGGAACCCGCCGCTGGTGGAGCACGTCGCATGTGTTGGACAAAATCCATGGACGAAAACGCATTGCGGGCGTACTATAGGGCATAAGGGGAAGAAACTGTGGAAATAGCGTATAGGTCTCGGATGCATTGCTTTTTTGCTGAGCTGGAGCTGTCTATCCCCGTCACTGAACAAAACCTGGCAGACCGAGTTCGGTACATCATGCGCTCGAAAATATTTGATGATGCCGAACTCGAACGACTACGACGTGAGGCTATTCCGTCGTCGAATGAATCGGCTATGGCTGGAGATGCAGCTCCACATTCGACAGACCAGCATCCACACGTGGAAGCCGCCATGGATCTTCCAGTTGTGGTTGATTCGAACGACGATGAAATAGTCTCCCACGAACTAGAGCAAATGAGGAGTATATTGGAAGAGGCGATTTTAGAAACGCGCAGCACCCCTCTCGAAAATCGACCGCGACTTCCCCCGCATACCCCTAAGCAAGCGAAATCGGGCTGTCGTGAGGGCTCTTAACCCAATGCTGGTGACCTATTTGGAAGCCAGCCGGGACCTTTGCGAGACGGACTCGATTCTTTTTTGGCGCCGCAGTGGCAGTTTGCCGTATTATTGGCGCCAAACTTCCCATGGCTGGACGCGCTACTACACAAAGTAGCGCCATCCCAGCCTGGAGAAAAAGAATCGAGGACCGTATCGCAAAGGAAAGGGCCCTTATCGGCAGACTGACAAGCTTCAGGTTGGGTAATAATAGACCGAGGATTATGCGCACAGTTAGGATGGCGTTTGCTGGGACAAATATCAGTTTGTCCCAGCCGAATATCACGCAGAAACTAACGGAGCGCATAGACGACCTGAAGCAAAAGATCGCTGCTTGGGGGACGCGGATTCGACGATTTTCAGAGAGGTCAAGGCGGTTCAACCAGAATCGTCTCTTCCAGAGTGATCAGAAGAGGCTCTATAAATCATTGGAGCAACCAGAGGTATGTGGAGCGGTCCCAAGACCGGATCAGGCTGACAATCTCGCATTCCAGCGTGGCCTGTGGTCAGAGCCCGTAAACCACAGCGAGGGCCCTTGGATGGAAGTTGTGACGAGCCAGGGTACGAGTGTTACGCCTATGGACCCCATCACCATAACGCCAGAAGACGTGGCTGAGGCGGTCCGTAGGGCCCCGAACTGGAAAAGTCCGGGGCTTGACGGGCTGCATCATTACCGGCTGAAGGGGTTCATAGTGTGTCACGCTGTGCTCGCCCGACAGTTTCAAGAGGCTCTCGACCAGAAGTCACTCCCGAGCCTCTTCACTACTGGGATCACTCACTTGGTTCCTAAAGACCAGGGTACCACAGACCCGAGCAAATACCGCCCCATCACGTGTCTACCCACCATATATAAGACACTGACATCAATTTTGAGCGCGAGAATCACTCGTCACCTGGAGCTAAACCAGGTGATGTCACGCGCTCAAAATGGATGTCGGGGCGGTGGTCGTGGAACTAAGGAACCACTCCTCATTGACGCGGTCATAGGCAAAGTGGTGAAACGCAACCGTCGGAACTTCTCTGCCGCCTGGATAGACTACAGAAAGGCGTTCGACTCGGTGCCCCATACATGGCTAAAGAGGGTCCTCGAGCTGTACAAGATTGACTGTACAATTAGAGACTTTCTCGAGCAGTGTATGGGGCAGTGGAGTACGATCCTTTGTCATCTGGGCGAGCGGATGACGGCTGCGGAGGACCACATAAGGATAAGAAGGGGTATCTTCAAGGGCGATTGTCTGAGTCCAATCTTGTTCTGCCTCTCTCTTAACCCTCTCAGTACCTTACTGGAGGGCTCCGGGAGGGGATTTCAGCTACGGAAAGGAGGGACAAAAGGGGGCCACCTTTTCTATATGGATGACCTCAAGTTATTCGCCTCCAGTCGCTCCCATCTTATGGAACTGCTAAACATCACTTGTGAATTTAGCAGTTCCATTGGAATGGAGCTGGGGACGGATAAGTGTGCGGTCCTCCATGTTGAAAGTGGAAGGGTTGCTAACTCTGAGGGCATAGGGCTATCTTATGGAACTGCTAAACATCACTTGTGAATTTAGCAGTTCCATTGGAATGGAGCTGGGGACGGATAAGTGTGCGGTCCTCCATGTTGAAAGTGGAAGGGTTGCTAACTCTGAGGGCATAGACTTGTCTATGCCCGTCAACTTAAGGACCCTTTCCGAGGCTGAAACATACCGATACCTGGGTATGTCACAGAACATCGGTATCGATGAGGCTGGTATGAAACAGTCAGTTTGCGACGTGTTTTATGCACGCTTGACCAAAGTGCTTAACAGCCTTTTGTCCGGTGTGAATAAGTCACACGCATATAACTGCTGGGTCATGCCTGTCCTCATGTATACCTTTGGCATACTCAGGTGGACTCAGACTGAGCTTAACGCCCTGGATAGAAAAGTCCGCACTACCATGACGTCCCATAGGATGCATCATCCGAGATCGTCGGTAATGAGGCTGTACTTGCCGCGAAAGTATGGTGGGCGTGGCTTTCTGAGCGCGCTCACATGCATAATCGCGAAGTGTGCAGTCTCCGTCAATATTTCTTGGCGAGATCGGATGATCCATTCTATAATGACGTCATTTCTAGTGATAAAGGGCTTACCCCTCTATCCTTAGCCAACGAGCAATGGCAGGACCCAGCAGTGCTTAGCATTTCCGACCGGGAGACCGTATGGAAGGAGAAAGAGCTCCACGGGAGGTACTACAAGGCTCTACATGAGCCTTTCGTAGATAAAGTCGCCTCCCTCAACTGGCTACGTTTCGGCGACCTCTTCGGGGAAACCGAGGGTTTTGTCTGTGCAATACAGGATCAGGTTATTAAAACCAACAACTATCGGAGATACATCCTAAAGGATGGCACCATCGACGTCTGTCGAGCTTGTCGCCATTCCGGGGAGTCACTCAGGCATGTCATCTCCGGTTGTTCGGCGCTTTCTAACTCTGAGTACTTGCACAGGCACAACCTAGTAGCCAGAATTCTACACCAGGAGCTCGCTCTGAAATACGGTCTCGTGGACCGGAAATTGCCGTATTACAAGATCGGAAGCCGTGCTCGAAAATGACCGCGCCAGGCTCCACTAGGTCCGGGCCATCATCACAGACAGGACTATTCTTGCGAATAAGCCTGATATTGTGCTGATGGACCGGGCACAGTCAATATTAGCATCCCGTATGACCGATATTTTTGGTCGATATTAGCATCCCGTATGACGAGAACCTTGTGAGAGCCGAAACAGATAAGCAATCAAAATATCTGGACCTGGCTCACGAGGTGACCGATATGTGGGGTGGTCTGCCGACCGAAATTATTCCTGTAGTCTTCTCTGCGAATGGGCTAATCCCAGGTAGCCTCTCTGGTCATCTGAGGTGACTGGGACTCCGTGACGGACCGCTCCGGGCTCAAATGCAGAAGGCGGTGCTCCTTGATACTGCCCGCATCGTCCACCGGTTTTTTTCCCTTTCACCCTAACCCTTGGCCGTTTGGTCTCCTCTGCCGAGGGCTTCCATCTGGTTGGGCTTTTATTTATTTATGTATTTTCGTATTTATTTTATTTTATTGATATTTATGTATATTTATCTTTTCATTTTCGTTTATAATTATATATTTATACATCTCAACCAGATGAGAAAACTATATAGATACCCGACACATAATAATAATAATAATCTTTATTTTAGACAAGAGTCCATAATTTGGTTAGTAACATAACATTATTGTAGAATCGTTGTTAGTTAAATTGCTTAAAAATCTAAGAAAAAAAATCATACATTTTAACAACAATATCCATAATTACTAAAACATACTTATATTTAATAAATACATTTTATTATAATTACTTAAATTTACATTTTAATTCTTATGTATGTGAATGCGGTGTCTTAAAAGCGGAGAGTCCCACTTATGCAACTTTAGTACACCGTTTGGGCGCTATCAGTATTTAAGGTCACCTTACGGTTTAAACTGCACTTCAGAGATCTTTCATGCTAAGATTAAGCAATTAATAGAGGATTTAGACGGAGTAGATTCTTTTATAGACGATATTATATGCTGGGGGCGAAATAAAGACGAACATGATAGGCGTTTAAATGCATTATTAAATAGCGTTCGAGAAATTAATTTAAAATTTAATAAAGATAAATGTCGTATATTTGTGGAGGAAGTGACTTATTTGGGTCATATATTTAACAAAAACGGAATGAAACCAGATTTAGAAAAAGTAAAAGCTATAAAAAACATGCCAACTCCAAAAGAACGAAAATCATTAGAACGATTTTTAGGAGCCGTAAATTATTTATCTAAGTTTATACCTAAGTATTCTGAGCGTATTTATCCGCTTACTCGACTGTTGAAAAAGGACACAGAATGGTGTTGGGAGAGTGAACAACAGAATGCATTCGATTTATTATAATATTTAATAAGCAAAGCACCCGTGTTGGCTTTATATGACGTATCGCAACCGGCTGTAGTCTCGGTGGACGCAAGCTGTGCAGCGTTAGGAGCCGTGTTGTTGCAGGGCGGCCGACCTATTGAATATACTTCACGTACACTCACTGACACACAGGCACGATATGCGCAGATAGAAAAAGAAATGCTAGCTATTCTCTTTTCGTTTGAAAAGTTCCAATACACTATATATTTACGGTAAAAGTGATGTTTTAATTGAAACAGATCATAAACCGCTAGAAAGCATTTATAAAAAGCCCTTAGATTCGATACCAGCACGCTTACAGCGAATGATTTTACGATTACAATGTTATGATTTGATAGTTACATACAGACTATAGGATGGGGAGGTGGCGCTATTTGTCACGGTGAACATCGAGCTCCGTATTAAATTTATTTAAATTAAAAAATAGTGCTCTATACACAGTAAATCAGTGCGTTCCATATAAAAATAGATAGGATCGAGCGGTGGAAATATTATCCCAACGAACGAAAATTAGCGGAACGACGTAAATATTCAGAATAGCAAGATTGGAAGAAAAATGACGTCCAATTTTTTTTTAGATTTTGACATTTCTGTGATCAGCATGACAATTTGCGAACATTGCGCTAAGTCTCCTATTTGACGTCCGTATATTGGACCGTTGTCCGTAAGCAGGTTGACGCCACATTATATGCAAAATTCGCCATAGTGGACGTACAATAAGTTACGGGATGTATATGTATATATATATATATAATATATATATATATATATATATATATATCTATATATATATATATATATATATATATATATATTATAAACTTTTTTTTATTGACATAATATAAACTTATCGGAAAATTAGAAGTAATAGTAATAAGGTTATTTGTGAAAACTCGTGTGTATTTAAAATACACACGATATAGTATAGATATAGAAAAGTTGGTGGCGCTAGTTGTCACGGCGAACATCGAGCTCCGTATTAAATTTATTTAAATTAAAAACTAGTGCTCTATACACAGTAAATCAGTGCGTTCCATATAAAAATAGATACGATCGAGCTGTGGAAATATTATCCCAGTGAAAACTAGTGTATATCGTGTGAAAATCAATCAGTATTGATAAGGTAGATAACACCGTAATAAAAGTACGAAGTGACCAAGTGCAGGTGAATTAATAAGTGTCCTCTCCATAGTCTTTCTACAAACTATAACGTAAGTGAAAAACTAATCCATAAAATATTGAATTTTCTATTTTTACACAACTGGTAAAACGTTATCTGTTCAAATTTGTAAACACAAGTCAGCTGACCAATCAGCTGATTCTATTCTATCTTCTCAAAGGGTACTAAATGGCGTTGTAAATCGCCATCTACCAGAAAAGTAATGAACTAAAACTAATCTAACGATTTATAGACCATCGATGATAAATCGCATGCTTTGTTAGATAAGTAAAATAATAGTACAGCTGCAACACAATAGATGGCGATAAGTCAAAAACAAAAATTATTTTAATTGGTTTTACACGAGAAAGGAAAGACTTCAAAATGTCGAAAATTTGTTTTAAATGCAGAGAAGAAATAAGAAAAAGGGACTTTATTGAATGCTTCAACTGTAAGAAACTCTTTCACTTAGACTGCACAAGCATAGGAGAAAAATTTTTCTTCTTATTAGATGTCGAAAAAAGAAACAAATGCCTATGCGATTTATGTAAATATCATATACTACCAAATTTAGTCCAACAAAATATAAATATACCCACAACTAATTCTTTCGATGCACTAGACGTGGATGACGAGTACACAGAATTTGTCACCTTTCGTCAAAAAAATAAAAAACTATCAGAATCACTTCCAGATTTATCAGACTCATTTATAATAACACACTCTCATTCATTAAATTTACAAAAAATCTCTCGCAGCCTACCAGACGACGACTTAAGAGATTGCTTAATCATACAAGAGTTAAAAGAAGAAGTTTCAAGGTTACGTACAGAACTAATTATAACGAACAAAGAGGTGGACAATTTAAACATAACGAAGAGAAAACTTACCAAAAAAATTCTAGAAGAAGAAGAAATTATAAAACTCTACAAAAGTGTTAGTATCGACGACGTAAAATTGAGAAAAACAGCCAATAATTCCTATAACTCAACACCTTTAACTAAACCCAATAAACAAAACAGGAAAAGTTTAAAGTCAGATAAACGCCATAGTTTTGAATATGTTGAACGAATAAAGCTTAAAGAAACACTGCCTGCTACTCAACCTGAAAAATATGTAAATGATTATGTAGAAACCATAACCTCAAAAATTAAGACTAGTGAAGAAACTTGCGAATATCCACCGAAAAGGAAACTATGCGTCATTAGTAACATTCGTAGCAATAAAATGGCGACTACAATGAGAAACCACTTCGAAACGCAAAACATCTGCCACTACCGCATAACAGGAGGTGGTATTGTTAAACTGTTAAGGGGTGTACAAACAAAACTTGTGAATTACACCCTTAATGATTTTTGTATTTTAATTGTAGGTGAAACTGATTTTGATGTTTCCAAAAATTATAATGATTTAGTTATGAATATAAGGAAGACTCTTTTGACCGTTCAGCACACAAATATCTTGCCTACTTTTAAATTTTGTTACCACTCTAATATTTATAATAGACGAATTGAAACATTTAATAACCTTTTATACTCTGATAATATTAATTTTGAATATTGTTACATTTTAGACTCCAACAAAAATTTAGACTATTCTACTCATATGTTCTCAGGATATAATGGAAAATTAAATAAACGCGGATTAAAGACAATTTTGCATGACATAAACAAATTTATAAGAACATTTGATGATGTAACATTGAGTGAAAATCGACGAATAGAAGATATCTCTGATCTAAAAGTAATTACGTTTCAAGAAAATAAAATTGATACAGAGAAGTCTTCCCTTTCACCCCAAAATGCTATAAAATTATGTGTCAAAACATTCAATGTCTTTCTAACAAAATTGACGACTTAAACTTATTGTTAATGGAAGTTAATAGATATATTAATCGTAAGTGAACATTGGTTATTACCTATTAACTATCATTTTTACACATGAGAGGGCTACGAACTACGTGCGAAGTATTTGCGGCAAAAAAATATTCACGGTGGGGTTGGTATCTTTGTTAGAGAAAACATGAAAACAAAAGAACATTCAATTATTCACAGTAGAATTTATCGTGGAATTGTGTGCGTTGGAGATTACTGAATCTAACTTATTGATTGTGGCCATCTATCGCTGTGAGAGAGAAATAGAAACATTTTTCGTTCAAATGCAAGCTTTAATAAACCACTTATTCAAACATGCTCATAATAAAAAAAAATTATCATAGCCGGCGATATAAATATAGAAATCACAAGGGATACGAAAATATGTCGTAGACTTATCAATCTTTTAAAATCATTCGGGTTGCGCTGTCTTATAGAAACCCCTACACGTGAAACCCAAAACAGTATCATGCAGTATCATGCATTGACCAAATTATAATTTCTAAAAATACATACATGACGGCTTTGTACAAAATTATGACTTATCAGATCATCACGCATTAATTGGACAAATACCAGTGGAAGAGAACATAAATAGAAATAATATTACTTATAAAATAAACAAACGACTTTTTAATGAGAATAATATGAAAAAATTCAGAATTAAACTAAATGAAATTAATTGGTGTAATATAATGACCCCAACGAGTGATATAAATACAAACTATAATAAATTTCAGAACCAAATCAAGTCTATTTCAGATGAACATATTCCACGAAAATTGTATAAATTACAAAATAAAGAAAAGACAAGATGGGCAACAAAAGGCATTAAAAATGTTGCTACAACAAACGTGTCTTACGTTATCTTACTAACTACTGTAATAATGAAACCTTAAAATCTTATACAAAAATCTACAGAAAAATACTAAAAAGAATAATAGTCACAGAAAAAAGAAAATCTTACATTAAAAGAGTGCAAACATCACGTAATAAATATAAAACTATGTGGTCTATGATAAATGAAAAACTAAAAAAGTTAAAAGTGTAAAATATGAAAACATTTGTTTACGTAATGACGTTTTAAATATAACATCTCCAAGTAAAGTTGCAAACTTATTCTATAATTATTATATAACTATAAGTTCAAATAACTGCTCCTCTCTAAATAAGCGATCATCTCGAGTATCCTTGCCAAATTCAATATATTTTAGTAGTGTTACAGAAGCTGATGTAAAAAGAGCGATAATGGGACTAAAAAGAAACAATTCTTGCGGATATGATGAAATCCCAGCTACTCTACTCATATATTGCGTAGTAGAGTTTGTAAAGCCCTTAACTTTTCTTATAAATCAATCGTATAAGGATGGCGTTTTTCCGGAAAATCTAAAATTAGCCGTGATAAAACCTATTTTTAAAAAAGGCGATAAAAGTGCTGTATCCAATTATCGCCCCATTGCATTACTGTCTGTAATTTCAAAAAATTTTGAGAAAATAATTTGTAATAAAATATAAAATTTTTAAAAAATACAGCATTTTTATTAAATATCAGCATGGTTTCCGAAAAGATAATTCTACTAAGTCCGCTGTATTTGACTGCATCTTAGAAATTCAGAATGCTCTAAATGAAGGAAGATGTGCAGTAGCTATTTTTATGGACATGTCCAAAGCATACGATCGCGTTTTGCATGGACCCTTGCTGGAAAAGCTATATTCGCTAGGTATACGAGGGAAACCGCACGAATGGCTCTCTTCTTATCATGCGAGTAGAAAACAGTACGTGCAGGTATCACATATAAATGAATATCGAAAACTGATAAATGACATAAATTCGTCCACTGCAATAGTAACAGGTTCTATACCGCAGGGTAGTGTCCTAGGATGCTTGTTGTTTTCTATTTACATCAACGAACTCCCTTCAGTAGCACCATATAGAGTCGTTTTGTTTGCAGATGACGCGACAGTTATAATTACTTGTAAACAAAAAATTCTAAGTAGTTTGCAGGAAAAAATAACCCAAGCCTTAGAAAAATTGTGAATGAATTAGAGGTTTTAGGCCTATTACTAAATTTTGAAAAGACCAAAATAATGCAGTTTCGTCCATATCAGAGATCAGAAGTCCCGCTCGCTATATCTTACCAAGTATACCTTGATATTGAGGAAGTTCGCACATTTTCATTCCTCGGGATAATAATAGACTCAACTTTTTTCATGGAAAACTCATGTAGAAAGAGTTGTGAGTAAGTTGAGCAGTTTTTGATATGCCCTGCGTGAGCTACGTAAGGATACTAATGAGCAGTGCGCACTTACTGCGTACCACAGCCACGCAGCTGCCTGGATAAGATACGGCATCATATTCTGGGGAAACTCTACCGAGGTACACGCGGTATCCATGCTCCAAAAACGCTGCCTTAGAATCATCACATTCGCAGCTCCAAGAGATTCATGTCGAAGGTTGTTCCCCAGATATAACTTACTAACTGTAACGAGCATGTACATTTTTGAATTATGCCGATTTGTTAGGAAAAATCCTCATTATTTCCAGTGATTTGAAGATAGACTCAGTCGCTACGGCACACGCCGAGGTTATATATATAATCTGGTTGCTCCTGCCACACATCTCACATTATATAAAAATGGTCCCTACTACATGGCTATAAGGGTTTACAATTAATTACCGAATACAATAAAAGCCCTCCAGTGTCGTAAATTTGAAATAGTACTCAAGAAAATGCTTATTGTAAAAACATATTACAGTTTGAATGAATATTTTAATGATAAATTATAAATCAATTTTAATTATTTGACAATTTTCTTTATTTCTATTTACATATTTGACATTGTTAGTATTTTTCATCAAATTTTTTAAACTTTATTTACATAATATAAATGACGAATGATCAGTTGACAATATTTAATGAAATTTAATTTTTAAAACAAATGTGTAAGTATTATTTAGTCTGACATTTTATAATATAATTTATATATTGTGTACTATAAATACTACTATAAATACTGTAATTTGAATGAAATGAAAATGAATTCTATATTAATTAAAATTTAAACTCTGTTTTAATACGCTATGCCCGTACAGGGTGTCACATGCTCTGTAAATATATTGTTCCAACTTTATACTTTGTGACATGCAATAAAGAATTATGAATTATGAATTATAAGCCTGGAAGGTATATGTACTTGTCCGATACATTATCGCGTGCCCCTATTGCAGAACTATACAATGATAAAGTGAGTGAAAATGTATTATGTAAAGTGCATAGTTTCTAACATGCCCGTTTCATAATGATTTCTTATATTTACGCGAACACTACACATTGATTAAAACTACTTTTACGGATTTTATCGTGTTTATTTTACTATTATTTTTAATTCCCGATGTTTTCCGATTCCTACCAAGGATGATACGTGAGGCTTTTGAAATTAAAAAACATTCTAATTTCAATAGAGAAGGAGGCTGGGTACTACCACCTGCTTGGGATCCTATAATCAATAAAATTAAAACTAAACCCAAGCATACCACTGCAAGACCTCAGGACATAGTTCATTTTGCTAGGATAGATAGGTGTCTTGTGTGTCAAGAGAATTCAAATAAACCTAGTCAGGAACCGATGATTGCTGTTTCTATTCCATATTTACCATGGAGTAAAATCGGGACGGACATATTTCAGTATGGTAAAAAATCATATCTGATTATTGTGGACTATTATTCGTGTTTTACGGAAGTAGCACTGTTACATGAAACTACTTCTAAAAGCGTCATAAACGTGCTGAGAGAAAATTTTGCTAGATATGGGATACCAGACATTGTAATAAGCGATAATGGTCCACAATTTTCAAGTCGGGAGTTTAAAAACTTCGCGGTGGAGTGGGGATTTGAACACATTACGTCATCACCCAACTATGCACAATCAAATGGTAAGAGTGAAAGGGCTGTGCAAACAATAAAAAAGATATTAAAAAAATCCATAGATAATGGAAGTGACTTTTATTTCAATTTGCTAAGGTATCGAAATACGTCTCGCGATAATTTGAATTCTCCCACACAGCTGCTGATGGGTCGTACGTAGGTTAAAATGCAGGCTGCCTGTGCACCCGGACCTTTTAAAAATAGGTAATGTAGATAATGAGAGACAACACAAAGTTATGCTAGATAAACAAAATAAATACAAAATGTATTATGATTTACATGCTAAGCCTTTACCTGTATTAGATGTCGGCGATGAGGTGACCATGATAGAAAAAAATTGTAAAATGCCAGGTTATATCGTTGCAAAAGCGACGACTCCCCGCTCTTATTTTATTAAAACTAAAAGAGGAATGGTGTACCGTCGCAATCGCAGACATCTAATAAAAGATAAAACACAAGAAAATAGAACGTCAGGACAAATAGCACATAAGAACAAAGAATATGATCCAATTAGAACAAAAACTATTTGTACGCGTAGTGAGAATGAGGCCTCTTACTCGAAGTAAAGCGAATAAAAATAAAAAATAATCTACTTAATTAATCCTGTGTAATCACGAAAAAAAGGTTAAGGTTAAGGTTATGTAAGGTAATGGTAAAATAAAAAAATAATTTGTACTTAAGTTTTTTTTTAAGAATATATATATATATATATATATATATATATATATATATATATATATATATATATATATTGTATGGTGAGTGTAGAGATCCGGAGACCCGTTCCACTGGTAAAGAGGCATTATTTCTTACTCCTTAAGGGAGACAACTCATCTATATTTAGATTCCTATGAAGATGTATAGACCACAGCAACCACTTACCACTAACCAGGTCGCTTTTACACTCTTAAGTGATAGAGCCATGCTGCAGCTATATTATCGTTGTCGGGGGTCGGCTCCATCGGGGTAGGACCACGACTCTCACAGTACACCTGCGTAAAGTAGCAGCGTAGTGTTGCTATGTTTCTTATGATGAGTAAGAGAACCAGAAACCCTTTTTT